TGGTGGCAGGCACCAGTCTTCCCAGCTACTTGAGAGACTGAGGCAGGAGAATTGCTTGAACCCTGGAGGTAGAGGTTGCAGTGAACCAAGATCGTGTCACTGCACTCCAGCCTGGTGGACAGAGCAAGACTCCAACTGGAAAAAGTTGAAAAAAAAGATGACTATGGATTTTGAAAATGTGGACGTGAATTAGGGTGATATGGCAACAATTCAGAAGGCCCCCCAAGACTGTGAATCCACAGAAGTTGGCCTCAGATGGGAGCTGAGTGGATCAGGGCAGGGAGAGCCTCTGACCTCTGTAAAGCCACCACGAGGGTGGCCACTTGAGCACACCCAGTGAATTCTGTCTTGAGGTGAAGCCAGGCCGACTCTCCCCATAGCCCCCAGCCTGTGCTTCCTCCCTGACACCACAGTGGCTTTTGCTCTCTGCTCAGCCCTTCCCCTGCCCTTGACTCACAGCCAAGATGATGTAGCAGTCACCGTCGAAGAAGCTCCCAAAGGTGCTGGAAGGAACAGGTACCATCTGCATGGCCTAAGGAGAGAAAGAGGGGTCAGAGGGGCTGACCGGGACCACCAGAACCCCTAGGCTTGGGAGGAGGAGGGCCCAGGAGGAGCAGGGGTCGGAGAAAAAGCGCCGGGCCCAGGAATGAAAAGAGAGAAAAGGAAGAGGGGAGAAGGAAACTTCGTGAGGGTGGGAGAAGGGAACTCGAGAGAGGGAAAAGAAGGCATAAGTGAGGAAGAGGAAATGGAGAGGAAGGTTGAGAGCAGAGGGGGAGGAATGGAGCACAGGGAAAGGGAGACCAGTGGGGTGTGGATGATGTGGGAAGCTCGGGGCTGCACTCCCGGGGGCCGCAGGGCAGGAAATGAAGAGAAATGAAGAGGAAATGAAGAGAAAGCCCACCCTCTACCTTCCCTCCCTCCACCCCAGGCCTGCACCGTGCCCACGCCCAGACGGGGCCTCACCTCAATCCTCCATATCTGCAGCCCTGGGGTCGTGACGTTGAGAGAGCCTTTAACTTGGGTGCTCAGCGTGGTCATGGTGAGTGAGCCTAGGGGAGAAGGCGGTGGAGCAGGGGCACCCTGGGTTCAGATGCTGCCCTTCCAGCCTGGCCCTAGAGAACTCCCAACAGTGCCAGGAGGTTGCAGACTCAGGGGCGGGGGGGAGCATAGAGAGCTACTCCCTACTCGGGGACCATTGCTGCTTGTTTGGTACCGAATCCACAGTGTCCAGCACAGTGACTATGCTGGATAAAGGAAGAGAGAGGGGGAGGGGAGTAGTGAGGGATAGATGAATGAATGAATGAATGAACGAATGAACAGAGTGAACCCTCCCACTGAGAACCACCCTCTGCCCACTGAACTGGAAGGAATCCTTCCTCCCCAAACTTTTCTTCTCATGTCAGCCCTTTCTCCTTTTTTTTCTTTTTGAGATGGAATCTTGCTCTGTCACCCAGGCTGGATGAATCCTGGCTCACTGCAACCTCCGCCTCCCAGGTTCAAGCAATTCTCCTCCCTTAGCTTCCCATGTAGTTGGGATTATAGGCACCCACCACCACACCTGGTTAATTTTGTATTTTTAGTAAAGATGGGGTTTTGCCATGTTGGCCAGGCTGGTCCCAAACTCCTGACCTCAGGTGATCCACCTGCCACAGCCTCCCAAATTGCTGGGATTACAGGCATGAGCCACCACGCCCGGCCAGCCCTTTCTGCTTGGACCTGTAGCTGTGTTCGCCCCAGCTGCTCGTCAGCATCACCCGGGGAGCTTCTGAACATACTGATGCTCTATGCTCAGGTGGCATCCCCAGAGATTCTGATTTAATTAGGCCAGGGTGGGGCCTGGGAATGGGTGCTTTATTTTCTGCCTTTTGGGAGGCGGGGCATGGGTGCTTTTACAACTCCCCAGCGATTCTGATATGAGCCAGGACAGAGAGTGAGCCACTTGCTCTCAGTTATTCTCTCCCTAGGTTTGTTTTTTTTTTTTTTTTGAAACAGAGTTTCACTCTTATTGCCTAAGCTGGAGGGCAATGGTGCAAACTCGGCTCACTTGAACCTCTGCCTCGGGGGTTCAAGCAATTCTCTTGTCTCAGCCTCCCGAGTAGCTGGGATTAGAGGCACACGCCACCACTCCTGGCTAATTTTTTATGTTTTTAGTAGAAACGGGGTTTCACCATGTTAGCCAGGCTGGTCTCAAACTCCCTGACCTCAGGTGATCGGCCTGCCTCGGCCTCCCAAAGGGCTGGGATTACAGGCATGAGCCACCGTGCCCGGCCTCTCCTTCCTAGTTTTGAGACTCCTTCTCACCAGGCCAGAGGCCACCCGGATCTCCATGGAGCCTTTTACCAGCCTGGCAGGGAGCTGCCCTCCATGAGTGCTCCTTGAACTGGTGAATAAAAATGAAAGGGCATTTGGCCGACAGGTCAGGCCACCACTCGCTGACAGCCTGAAATCTCACTATCTAATCTCTCCTTGCACCTTGACTCTGAGTCACCTCTTAGTGACTTGGCCTTTTAGTACTTGGAACCTCCCTTTTCTGAGCCCTGAGGGGTGGCCGCTGCTTCCCTGGCATTCTGGAGTTTGAGGCAAGGCCCTGCCCAGTCTCTGATCAGAGCCTCCTCCACCGATCAGCAGCAGCTTGCTGTGTATATGTAGGAGCCCCTTGGGCTTGGGTCCTGTCTGATGATCTGTTGGCTATGGCCTCCTCCATCAGGCAACCATGGCCTCCTCCATCAGGTATTTTTCAACTCGCTGAGTCCCCAGGGCTCCCAGGATTCCTGGTCCAGCAGAACCAGTTGGGTACAAAGGAGGGGAATGTTTTCTGTTTCATTTCTATCATCTCCTTTGTCTCCATCCCCCCTTTTATTGATTTATTTATTTTAAGATGGAGTTTAGCTCTTGCTGCTGAGACTGAAGTGCAGTGGCACAATCTTGGCTCACTGAAAGCTCTGTCTTCCAGGTTCAAGCCACTCTCCTGCCTCAGCCTGCCAAGTAGCTGAGATTACAGGTGTGTGCCACCATGTCCAGCTAATTTTTGTATTTTTAGTAGAGACAGGATTTTACCATGTTAGCCAGGCTGGTCTCGAACTCCTGACCTCAGGTGATCTTCCCGCTTTAGCCTCCCAAACTTCTGGGATTGCAGGCGTGAGCCACTGTGTTTGGCCCCATCCCCCTTTTTCTTTGACACTCACTAGCTGCATGAACGTGCACTTCCCTTCTTCATCTATGAGCTGAGGGGGTCAACTTAGGGGGTCAACTAAATCGATGATCTGTAAAGTCCCACCCAGGAACATGCTGATTCTAGGGGTAACTGGCAGCAAGAGGAATAGAGGGTGGACATGAGGAGGCACTTCTTGCTCATCAGAGGGCATTCCGGTGAGCAGGGACTTGAAAAAACCAGTGCTCCCCCTCCTTGGAGAGAAATCAGGATTGGGACCAGTCCCCACAGGCCAAAGGTGGCCGAGGGGACTCAGGATTGGGAGCTCTGAGACGTGGCCCCCCTACCGGCTGTATACCCTCCAGCTGCTCCTGCCCTCTACCCGTGTTGCTTAGAGCAGACGCCTCTCCTCCACCCCTTGGCAGGGCCCCCTCCTTACTTCCCCTGTCTTCCCTGCACTGCCCCCAGCCCTGCCACCATGGGCCCTGGTTTGGATTTGAGCTGTCTTCTCCCTCAGCTTCAACTCAATGGCTTCCCCCACTCCTGGTACTTTCTCTTCTATGTCCCCAGACCGGGAAGGGCACCGTCACGCCAAGACCCCAAAGCCAACCATCTGTGCAGCATCCTGGACTCCTCTCCATCCTGCCCTTCTGTTCACCTAAACTCCCTTGAGTCTCCCTGATACACACAGCCCCCTGGCCCCTCTCTGCTGGCACTCTGCCCTTGAGAAATGCCACACTGCTGGCGGGCCCCTCCCCCATGCTGCCTCTCACCCCACGCCTGCTCTCACTGCTCCCACCCGGAGAGCTCTCCCCACCTTTCTTCTCTTGCCTAACACTAACATGCTCTTCTAGACTCAATTTAGGTTTCATTTCTCCCAGCAGACCTTCCCAGAATCCTTAGGCTGGACGAACGGCCCCTCGTCATCTTGGACTGTCCCCTGTCTTGGTCTCCTGACCACATGGTGATGAAAGAACCTGATTGTAAGTCTGAGGTCTCTGAGCTCCAAGACATAAATATATTTGTCTTTGTAGCCCCCAGCTCCTAGCACGTAGTAGGTGCTCAACAAATACTCACGATGCTGAAAGGCTGAACTGTGGGATGGAAGGAGGACCCTCCCAAGGCCTTGGAGGGGTTTGGGCTCCTGCCCTCTTCCTTCCTTCCTTCCTTCCTTCCTTCTTTCCTTCCTTCCTTCCTTCCTTCCTTCCTTCCTTCCTTCCCTCCCTCCCTCCTTCCTTCCTTCCTTTCTTCCTCTCTTTTTTTTTTTTGACAGAGTCTCACTCTGTTGCCCAGCCTGGACTGCAATGGCGCAATCTCAGCTCACTGCAACCTCCACCTCTTAGTTCAAGCAATTCTCCTGCCTCAGTCTCCCAAGTAGCTGGGATTACAGGCATGCACTACCATGCCTGGCTAATTAGGATTTTTAGTAAAAACCGGGTTTCACCATGTTGGTCAGGCTGATCTTGAACTCTGGACCTCAAGTGATCCATCCACCTTGGCCTCCCAAAGTGCTGGGATTACCCACGTGAGCCCCTGCGCCCGGCCCACCTTGCCTTTCTTATCTGCGCCCTGTTATACTCGAGGTGCGGCTCTGTGGCAGGTGGGGTGCTGCCGCGGTTCCCACTTCCCAGTCATGCAGCTCTGAGCTGGACGGGAATGTGGTGGGGCTGTGGGGGTGAAGTCCCACCTCTCAGACAAAGGCCATCCTCCTGCTTCCCGGCCCCTTGCCCTGATAGCAGAGGGAATAGACACCCGCCCAGACCCTCCAGCCTACAGGCTCTGCCTCTCAGTGGCCTGCAGGAGGCCCCATTAGATGATGTTCCAAGAAGACAGTAGCCAGTGTGTCCAGAGCTTGGTCTGCACCTAGCTCCCAGCCCTAGTTCTGCTGAAGCGGGGGATTGTGGCAGGGAAACCAATGGGGCAGCTGTGGGTGGAGGGAGATGGGGCAGAGGTGCATGGTAGGGTGGCCCAGCATAGCCCAGGACCTAAGGCCCTGCCACCTCCATTCAATTCCTGGTGGCTGTTGCTCATATGCTAGGAGCCAGGAGGCGGGGCCCTGAAGGCCCACGAGTGTCAGAGGCATAGTGACACATAGAAAAAAACCCTTCAGATGAAGAAGAAATGGGCAAAGAGAGGAGCTGGTGGGGAGGGGGCTCAGGGAGTGAGGTCAGGGAGACCAACTAGTCTCGGTCTGCCCAGGACTGTCCTGATTTTAACTCTAGAAATTCCAGGGCAATTGGGATGGTGACACCCAAGTGGAATGGGGCTGGCCGCCAGCCCGAGACTGAAAGAGCCATTGTCTCCAGCAGGGCCTGCAAAAGTCTCTCCTTGGAGGCCCAGGGCAGACACACTGGGCCAGCCCTTCTCACACTATCCAGAGTGCCAAGCCTTCCCCTGGAGCCCGCACCACAGTGCTCTGGGAGGCGCCAGGTTGCCTGAGAAAAGCAGGGGACTCAGTCCCCTCACACCACCTATAGCCTCCATGTGTCCCCACCAGGTTGCCTTACCTGTCTTGGGGAGGCAGCTGCCACCTGGGAGATCTCAGGGAGTTGTGGCAAGCTGGCTGCAGAAGAGCGACCTTTGTCCCCACCCCCCCTCCTCTAGGAACTGCCTTCACCATATAAGGGAAGATAAGGCCCCAGAGAGGTGAGGGGGTGGGGAGGCAGGTGCTGCCAGGTCCCTGGGAGCCCAGAGCCCAGTGACAGCCTGACAACCAGAGCTGATGTGCCCCACCCTTGGCTTTTTTTTTTTTTTTTTTTGAGATGGAGTCTCGCTCTGTCATCCAGGCTGGACTGCAGTGTCACGATTGTGGCTCACTGCAACCTCCACCTCCCAAGTTCAAGTGATTCTCCTGCCTCAGCTTCCCGAATAGCTGGATCACAGACATGTGCTACCATGCCCGGCTGATTTTTATATTTTTAGTAGAGACAGGGTTTCACCAGGTTGGCCAGGCTGGTCTTGAACTCCTGACCTCAAATGATCCACCCGCTCGCCTCCCAAAGTGCTGGGATCACAGGCGTGAGCCACCGCTCCCAGCCCCATCCTTGGCTTCTGAGAGAGCAAGGGATGCAGTGCTTTTCTGCCCAGGGCTCAGGATCTCACCACGGGCAGACAGCACTGTCCAGGTAGGGGTGCCTGAACCTTTCCTCCTACCAACCAAGAGAAGGAGGCTCTGCTGTCCTCCCACCTTCCCTGGGGCAAATGGTTCATGGAGAAGGAGAGGCAGGACCCTGGGATTCCAGGAGCCCCAAACCCAGGGATGCAGGGGCTTATACTTGGGGTACCCCCAGAACAGATAAGAGGTCTCTTCTCAGCATGACCCTCACTTAGCAAGGGCCCTAGTGGGCACAACTGCTCTTCCTCTCCACCCACAGGGGCACTGGCACCACCCGGAGTTTTATGAGACGCCATAAACCAGTGCCTTTGAACTCTGCTCTGCTACTTTCTCCCAGAAGCCAAAGTTTCCATGTCTGACCCCTGACTCTAGGGGATCCATCTCACTCAGGCAGGAAAGGAGTGCAGCCATCTCTGGCGTGGATCTCGCTGAGAGACCCGCTCCACGCGCAAAGTCAGCACCTTGGGCAGCTGCCTCCCAAGCTGCAGAAATTCTCTAGTCACCTCCAAAGCCTGTTCCTTACCAGGGTGAGATGAAGGGACTGGGTGAGGGCAGACCCTCTCCTCCTGATCACAGCCTCCCAAGAGTTCTGGAGACCAAATGTACAGTAGTTCCCGCTTATCCAAGAGGGGGTACATTCTAAGACCCGCAGAGGATGCCTTAAAACCTCAGATGGTACCAAACCTGGCTGCTGTCAGCTGGAGCACATATCTGTTCACGTCTTCCAACCACAGATTTAAGCTCCTTCCATTTTCACTAAGCTCTTATCCTGTACTGTGGCCGTACTTTTGGAGTTTGAGATGCAACAGCAAAATGTCTTTTTCCTTCCTCACTATTTCATGAACAGAGGATTCTTTTTTTTTCCGGAGATGGAGTCTTGTTCTGTCACCCAGGCTGGAGTGCCATGACGTGATCTTGGCTCACTGCAACCTCAGCCTCTGGAGTAGCTGGGACTACAGGGGTGTGCCACCATGCCCAGCTAAATTTTTGTATTTTTAGTAGAGATGGGGCTTCACTGTGTTAGCTAGGAAGGTCTCGATCTCCTGACCTCGTGATCCTTGGCCTCCCAAAGTGCTGGGATTATAGGCGTGAGCCACCGTGCCCAGTCTGAAGATGAATTCTTATCATACATCTTAGCAACCTCAGCATATAATAATTTTTTTTCTTTCCTTATTGAGAACTATTACCTTTTCACTTGAAACACTTTATGGCTTCTTTTTGGCACATCCAAATTCCCAGCATCACTACTCTTGCATTATTAATTAAAATAATGCTTATTGCCAGGCGTGGTGGCCCGTGCCTGTAGTCTCAGCTACTCGGGAGGCTGAGGTGGGAGGATGGCTTGAGCCCAGGAGTTATGGGCTGTAGCGCGCTATGCCGATTGGGTGTCTGCACTAAGTTCGGCATCAATATGGCGACCTCCCAGGAGCGGGGGACCACCGGGTTGCCTAAGGAGGGGTGAACTGGCCGAGGTCAGAAATGGAGCAGGTCAAAACTCCCGTGCTGATCAATAGTGGGATCGCGCCTGTGAATAGCCACTGCACTCCAGCCTGGGCAACATAGTGAGACCCCATCTCTAAAATTAAAAAATAAAATAAAATAATGTATAACTTGATCAAGACAGTTGAAGGTGAGCAATAAAAAAAATAAATTAAATAAAATACTGGTTACTTTGTTTTTGTTTTTGTTTTTTGAGACGAAGTCTTACTCTCTCACCCAGGCTGGAATGCAATGCCACGATCTTGATCACTGCAACCTCTGCCTCCGGGGTTCAAGTGATTCTCCCATCTTAGCCTCCCGAATAGCTGGGACTACAAGCACACACCACCACACCCAGCTCATTTTTTTTTTTTTTT